TGGATGAGATGCATTGATATGAAAAATAGTATTACTGCTTTTAGATGAGAAATGATATTACTGCTTTAAGATGAAGCAGTATCTTAAATGTTATTTCCAAAACCTGGTATCCATTTCAGTAAGAGTTACTGTAAGTGTTTCAAGTGTTTTTAATGCATTCATTCCCCCACTTAGACAGGCCTCTTTGCGTGTGTACAGGAATCCTGGCCTTGGTGCGTCCAGTGGGAATCAGAATCCCTCACGAGAACGTCGGGCTGAAGAGCAGCTTTATGCCGCATTGCCCTTGACTTATTTAACCTTCTGGATTGTTAAAGAAAGTTTTTCCTTACCTTTTATGAAACTATCATTTTTATTTCCTTAGCCCAGAACAATCCTGGATCTTGACAATATCAAGATTATATTTCTGTTTCTATATTCTTTTAAATTTTTAAATTCCAGTACTGTAAGGCTCCCAAAGTATGTTTTAGCAATATGTTTTCCTAATTGTTGCTGATAATATAATTTAGTGTTTAGTATCTTTACAACTTTTAAAGTACATGTAGTTCTGTTCCTGTTTTGTGAAGATCGTTATTTGTTCTTTTCTGCAGCAGCCTTCTGGAGTTAAGTAACTCATGTAATTGTTTTTCAAGTCAATAATTTCTACTCCACAAGACAAATGAGTTTGCTATTACACATACAAATTACATTTTCTATCATTGGGCTGCATTTTCTTGGAACTTAGGCTCTACAACTGAGAAATATGTTTGAGAGTATGAATAACTGTCCATAAAAATGCATCTGTCATTTTCTATTAGTGCAACAGAGGCCCTATTTGAAAATCTACAATGGATATTACAGCTTGAGGTTCTTGCATAATAACTTTATCCATTCATTCATTCAGCGCATATTAATTAAGGATGCCTATCTGCCAGCAGAAAAAGAAAATGAAAAATACTGAGTCTCTCCAAAAGGTTGAACTCTAAATTGTCTGCAGGAAAGGAAATGACTTCTGCTGTGCTGCTAAGCTCCACTGCATAAGGAGGCCAGCCCTTCATGAACGTTGAGCACAATCACTTTAGATTATTATGTCCTTTGGATATATTCCAAAATTATGGAAATCAAAGCCATTTCTACAAGGAAAGGAACAGCCACAAAATTTCTAGGGCCAACATTTCCTTTTACTGTATTTATTGACACATTTTCAAACTTAAAAGTTTGAGAAATTCACTTGTTGAAACATTCCCTTATCCTCATTGGTCCTGGAGGTTTACAGTATGCCTCCACGTCACAGGAGGCATACTGTAAACCTCCACATCACAGAAGCATCCCTGATGCGGCCATGCTCAGTAATGGCTTGCTGCATGTGGGAAGCTTGTGAAAGCCACTACACTCTCATTCTAGTCCTCATTCCCATCATCAGAACTCAGGCATATCTTCTCTTCTACATTCCATACCTCTCAACAGGCAGCTGCAGCCCAGAGGCAGCATGCCAAGCATAGTAACTTTATCTACGCAGAGGGCAGGAAGGAGATCTCTCTCCTTCATAGGCCATGGGCTATCCCTTGCAGTTTAAAGATAGCCTCTTTTCCACCATCCTGAAGGACCATTATAGATAGTGACAGGATGATAATTTTCCTCCAAAGTTTGTGAGAAGTAGAACTTCATTTGGGTCAAATTATTCCTATGAAGCAAATGCTTAGAGAAAAGGATTCAGAAGGCATCATGACCTAATTATGACATCTCCTTTACTCATTGAAAATGAGTACTCCCCCATGTATGAGATTTTGGGCAGGTTGCTAATGATGGAGAGGCCTGACAAACACTCCTGCACTGAGATAGTGTGGGTAGGAAAAAAGTGTTGAATGCTCCTGAAGTTGAACCCAGAAATTTTTTTCTAATCATAAAAGTGGGAGAAGAAACTAGTGATAATTATCCACAAAGATGTGAGGAACTGGTCACCTATAAAGAGCCGGTGTTAAACCATGAAAAGCATCTTCACTTGATCATAGCCAAAGGCTGAAAACAATCATGAGAAGCATCTTCAACACATTCCCTGCTGCTCCTATAAGAAAGGATGACCCATACTTGAGAATCGCTTCTGCATCCTTCTGCTTACCTCAGCAGACATGCTGAAAAAGAGTGTAAGTTTGAGGGGTAGTCTAAAGTCTTCCTTATGAAAGTCTAGAGAATTAGGAACTATTTATCTCCTACTGTTGGTCTAAAAACACGTGCCATGGCTCTTACTCTATTTTTTGAAAAGATACAGCTTGTGATACAGAAGCAAAAGAAAGGCCCCAGAGAACTGCAATAATAATTGGTGTAATGGATTGTTTCTTGATGACTAAAATAAGGGACTTGAATTCAAATCAACATAAATTAAGAATTGAAAAAGTTAAATTTTGTGAAGAAGGAGATACTGACAAGAATCTCCCCAGAAAACAATTTCTGATTACAAAGAGGAAGAGAATAATACTACAGTAGGAGAGGGTGATAGGTGTTACTGTTATTAAGTGATCCAAGTGAGCAGCAGCTGCAAAGGTCCACCCAGAGAGCCTGTCGCTGGTGCTCGCCTCGGCAACACTTGCGCTAAAACTGAAGAGATGCAGAGAAGACCAGCACGGCCTTTGGGTAAGGGTGACAGACATACTTCTGTAGCATTCCATACTTTTGTTGCTTTGAAAAACAGATGGAGGAGGCTGCGGAGATGGCTCAGTGGAATAAGCGCTTCCCTGGCAAGCGCAAGGGCCTGAGTTCGATCCCCGGTTCCACAAAAAAAGAAAAGAAAAAAAAAAACCATATGGAAAAATCCTGTCACTGAATAAGACACAGGAGAAGAAAAGAACATCATTTTCATGACTTTCTTCGTCAAAATGAATATCCTGAGCCCAATCACTCATTAAGTAATCACACAAATTCTCAAATTGAAGGGCTTTCTATAAAATAACTGCAGGCTTCAAAAGTGTAGTTAACCTGAAAGTCAAGCAAAGATGGAAGCCCTGCTTTGGACTGAATGTGCTGAAGAGCGAGACAAGCCCAAGTCATGAGTTACCGAATGAAATCTTACACCATGAGAGTCTTGTTGGCAATGAGGAAACAAAGCAGAGGACTTGATAGAAGCAACGTATCAGTGTTAATTTCCCCGCTTTTATGATTCTATTGTGATTACTTGTATGTAAGAAAATATTCTTGTATTTAAGAAGCACAAGAGAAAGTATTGGATCAGCCAACATCATCAAAAGAAATGATTCTCTAAACAATATTTCTGCACTTGAATCTTTCCTGCAAATTTATTCTAGCTTCAAAAGAAAAGGGTATAGAAAAATTGGGTTATACTAGTTTTAATGATTGAATTGTACTCTAGTTTTACTTGAAAATAAAAATAATTCAATTAGTAGTTCTACTTTGAACTTAATGATTTTCCCAATGAAATTATTTATATTAGAAACCAATATAAAAGTCTTAGAAAAAGCATTTAATGTGAACTTCTCTTCATTTATGTCTTCAAAGGGTTCGGACTGAAATAAATTCAGGTAAAATATTGCTTTGTAACTCTGAGCCTTCGTCACTTACTTTCTTTAAGAATTTTGTTTGTGAAGCAATCTCCAGACCAAATTTAATCTGTTCTGGTAATATTATAATCCTCAATTAAAAATATGTGTTTCCATTTTCTGTGCATATTGCAGTTTTGTAATCTGACCAACTGGGGCACATGAAGTGCAGTTTGCTGCTCCACTGAACTGAACTCTGTATCTACAGAGAACTGTGCGGTGAGCGTTAGCACAGCAGCTCATTTTAACGACCCTCACATCTGTGAAATGCAGTGTGCTGTGTGTTTTTGTTGTTCTGAAAGTGTGATTTCATGTATTGGCCTGTTTTAGAGAGAGCTCCTGGGAACTGAAAGGATAAATCCTAATCAGCACAATAACAGTGGCTGGGTGAATCCCAGTTTACTCAGTATGAGTCTCATAGCCAAGGCACCTGCTTTGATTAAGCTTATGTTCTATGACAGAAGAAAATGCAAAAATAAGAACCGACAGCAAAAAGCCACAGTAAGGGAAGAAGACAGTTGCATGGCGTAGCGCCGTGGAAAGAGTAAGCAGTGATATGAACCAGAAGCCTAGCAGAGGGGAGAGGGTCTTCCCCAAAGGGCGGGGTTCACGTGAGACACAGAGAAAACAAACCAACATAATTAAACAGAAAAAAAAGCCAGCTGGCAAAGAGGAGGAGCACAAATGTATTTAATGTAGGGAAGGAGTCGGTACAAAGGCACTGAGACAAAACGGCATGAACAAATTGCTATGCCTGAAAAATAGAAAGGCCGCCGTGTGCCACACCCAGTGCTCATGGGTTTCCCCTCTTTTTCTGTCTCCTTGTGCCTCGCAGTAATCCTGTAAGTTTGGTCTCAAAGTGATCTGTATTTTGAGGTGACAGAGGGGTGAAGCCTTACCTCAGCTTATTCAGTGGATAAATTGGTGGAACAGGCACAGGGCCTGCCCCTGCCCATCCACACCTTTTGCAAGACTGCAGCACAACCGTGACGGATGGCGAGGGATTTGGAAAGCAGTTTCCCTGAAGAAATACATGCATGTGGCACCGCCCTCCCCAGTCACGTACACCAGAATCACTAACGTGCTCATCCACCACCTTCCCCTCCTCAGCCTCCAAGGCTAATCAACTCCCATATCCTGAATTTTTCTCTAAGTATTTTTCAATCTCCTTTTCCTCTTTCTGTTTATCTCCCCTAGTTTGCATTCTTCACTTTATTGTTCTTCCCGTAACATATTCCTAAACCCTCCTAATTTATCTACCTGCCCTTCTCCTTAACTCTGAAAGCATATTTACTTTCAGAATTTTAAATATGACTATGACCATGCAATCTAAATACCATTAGTAATGGCCTGGCAAAGCTTCAGAGCCCTCATGCTGGAATTCAGAGCCAGCGTATCCCCATTTTTCTCCTCTCCTCTCCTTGCATGCTTTCCAGTTCCTGTCTCAGCACATAGGATTCCTGCTCTTCTCCCCAGACAGCCAGGCTTTGTCCCTTTGGCACTGGTGCTTTTCTCTCTGTCTGAATGCTGCAGCCCTGAATTCTCTCCTTGCCTTCAAGTAGGTGCTTGTTCTCCTTGGAAGACTTGGCACAGAGGGCTTGTCACCTAGGACGTGTCACCCATTTCATAACTTCCTCTTTTGACTCATCTGTGTTACATTACATCTTTTGTTAGGGTTCTGGGAATACTTTAGACACATTTCTATTATGCTTCTACTATAATTAACTGTTCATGTATCTTTGGTTTTGACTACAACGAGTTCTTTGATAGTGAATATATTTTGAGTTTGTTTTCTAAGTCCCATATTCTAGGGGCAGTTCATAAATACTTGATGAATGAGTAAAGAAATGAACAAATGAAAGCTGTATGTGGAGGCAATAAGTTTTGATGGGGCCTGAGGGTAATATAAAATATAGAATTTATAGCAGAGGCAGTGGATTTGTTGCTACTGTAATGGATGCACTTTCTTGTGACTGGAGCCTGCATCAGAAGATCTGCTGGTAGGGTGTTTTGTGGAAGTGTTTACAGAAGGGTGGAACAGATAGAACTATATAGGCATTACGGTGGGAACTTTGTTCTTGAGATCAGCGTGCCGCAGCTAAAACAGTGAACAATCTTGTAGGAAAACAGGGCTGGTCATGAGTGAAAGGGTGCCGACGTGTCACTGTGGCGCACATTTCAAGCTTGAGTCTCTGGCTCTCCAAGCAAATGAGGGAAACAACCGCAGGCAGGCCCCACGTGGATAAGCCCAGGGCCAGGGTGGGAGCGCGGGTGAGGTGGTGTTGCGGTTGGCGACTTCTACTGCTACTCACGATGCTGCCACTCCCTTCCTACAAGCAGTTGCTCATCAGTTAAGGGGAACATCGGTCACTAGCGCCGCTTACAGTGACTCAGCGACAGACTTCTGGGCTGTCTATGGAGGTGCTTTTCATTTTAATTTCTCAAACCAAAGAGTTAATTTCCAGGGCTGTATTTATGGTTTTATATTTACTGTTTCATAGCTACATAAGAGTCAGGCTGCAGCAACAAAGAGAAGAAATAATCCCATCTCTCTCCACACATTAGTTTGCTTGGATTCCTTGAGGGCAGTTAGTGAATAGCAAGTGCTATAGAAAAAATCCTGCAGTGACTCACCCTGCACTGCCTCTCATCAAATATATGAAAATACACTCTACTCATTTAGCACAAACCAGGGAAATGTAAAGGTCATAAAATTAATCAAAACTCACCTAATCACTACACATTTTCTTCCTTTTAGAAGTGATGGCTTGCCAGCGAGAGTTAGAAAAATAAAACCTTCTGCAGTCCCTGGGGCTTTTTAAATTTCATCTGATTTTCTCATTTTTGATTAAATGCTTGATCCCTGAGTACAGAACTGAAACACTGCCATATCGGACTTCATCACCGTCACTTCCATTTCGTAATTTAAAAGGAAAGATGGCAGAGGAAACCAGGTCTGTAATTGTTCAGTGGCATTTCGTAAACTTACCTTTTTTATCCACAGTAAGGTACATGTTGGTGTAGTGGCTCCCTGTAGCCTGAACTTGTGCTTCCCTGACCTATATACTCCCACTATCCCATCCCACTGGTCACTTCTTAAGATAGCAACTACTTGCCCCCTCTGTCCATCAGGGCTGCTTATTTTTCCAGAAATTCTTTTTAAATTAATAAGCCAGGAATGCCCAATTTGTCTACAAGGTCATGGTCTCTCACATCAGCAGAGACTGTGATAATTCAAACACTTCTGAAGGGTCACAGTCAAATTTGTCACTCTTCCTCTCTATTTTCTCGCCCACATCACGCTCACAGGAGTTGATCTTGACTCCACTTTTCTTGAAACAACAGGGAAATGGGCTGAGAGGTTTGCAGTGTCAGCCCACATTGGCATATTTGATCTGCACAACCTGAGGAGGCAAGCTCATTAACATTCCTGTTACAATGAGGGAACCGAGCCCGAGGTGAGTGAGGCTTCCAGGTGGTGTAGCTGGGCTTCATCTGAGTGCCCTAACTACTGTTCCTTCCTTGTGCTTTGATCCAACCTAAAGCAAAAACCCTGGGGCATGAACCTTCAGATTTCTTATTTGCATCTTCTAAATGTAGCTAGATTCACACGACCCCCATCTCTCCGTGATTTTCTTGTTTTTTGTTTGTTTGTTTGTTTGTTTTTGTTTCTGTTTTTTTGCAGAACCAGAGATTGAACTCTGTTCCTTGCACTTGCCAGGAAAGCTTATTCTACAGAGCCGTCTCCCCAGCCCCTTCTTGTTTATTTTTTTCCTCTTATGAAAGGCTAATGATCTTCCAGCTACCGTTGATATATCATCACCTTGAAGACCTTCATCACTGACCTCCTATGACTTCAAACTCCTTTTCTCAATAACTGTTTCCTCTTGGCACACAGCACGCACCTACTTCTGCTTTCCTGTCTTAGAGAATGTTCTCTTTCTCATCTTTGCAGCTCTTTCTAAGTGCTAGGTTATTCCTTTAATGCTCTTTTGTCACCTCCAGTTCACTTTAGTGTGAATTCCAAGGTTGTGCTTTCATGGAAATTGTTTTCTTCTAGGGAATATTAAGTCTGAGTGAGGAAGAACAATCCAGTGATCCCTCTGTCTACTGTGTACAGT